GCACGCACGCACGCACGCACGCAGAGCGTGTGTCAGAACCAAATTCAAATCTTGAATAGTAATGTTCACGACTTACAAAGGGGGATTAAGCGTGAATCAAGAATGGCACTCTTGACTCCGATCAAAACGCCGAAGGGCTTGTATGCAGTCTGGAGCATTGCGACGATCCCAGGAGCCATGCAGGAGGCCGGGACAGCTTTTGAACATTCAGGATTGGTGAAGCGAGCGACCAGAGGAACAAGAAGCCTACTGTTAATTGTATGCAGTGCGTGATCAGCCAAGACATCGAAGCCGGCCGAGCGGAGCGGAGATTGAACGACTTTGCTGGCCCATGTCCGTCTGCATGGACGCTGAATTCGTGCATGATTCCACCTACACATCTACTGTATATGCGAATGAATGTGTGCCTGCATCTCGAATCCGCTTCTCATCGGGCTCCCTTCTCGTGACCATATGTGCTTCGTCATTGTTCACGATTCAGATGAATATTCTTGATTTACAATCACGACTTGTGATGATTCAAAATTGCAGACACTCTTGACTTCGAGCTTGCGGGCGCGTGTACCCACGTGTACTGCCGGTGTGCAAAGACATCTCGCTTCCTTTGGTTCTGCGTGCATCACGCGATGGGTATAGCGAAGATCCTGCACCTGACCTACCGAATTCATTTTGCGCAACATACGCGGCAAGGCACGGTCGGCGACAAGAGAATCACTGAATGGTCGAATGTCTGCTGCCTGGCGGCGTCAAGGAAGATGTCAAGCCAACAAGGTTTGCATGTCCCCAATCGATTTATTTTTACCGACGCAGTCCAATAGTGGTAACATTCTTATTATTATGTTATTAGAGAGCCGCATATTGTTGCATCGTGTGCAAGTGTCCCGCGTTCGAGCGACAAGAATGGAATAGGAGAATGACTGCTGACCGTCGGAAAGAGCATGCTGAAAGATTTGTTGTGTCGTGATTCTGCGGAAAGTCTAGCCAAAAGTGAGACTGGACGAAACAGCAAGAATCAAAAGATATGAGTGGTGCTGGTCGCTGGGGTCGCTGGAGGAGCAAGAAGAGCAAAGCATCACTCAATGACCCGCAATGGAGCCTCCTTTCGAACCTTGATACACCGCAATCCAGAGAGGTGCGACTGAAATATCCTATTTCCCGCGGCTTTACGACTTGTCACTATGATATATAAAGGTGAGAACGTCGGCGGGGCCATGAGAAGCTCTGCGGGGCCACGAAGACGGTACACGGGGCGGCTTTCTGGTGTATGCGGTGCGCGCTGCAGACGTCGGGCAAGTATGATCACGTGACCCCACCAACAGATGGCCGTGCGCACGCGTGCACGGGAGGCTTTGGTGGCTCATGCTGTGAAGAGAGCAGCTAGCATTTGACGGCTGTTGCTTCCAATCGAGAGTCTTGACTGGTATGATGATGCGCCTCACCCAGGTACTCACGATCATTTCACAATCGTCAGGCCATTCACGACCAAGTCCATCTGGTGCGGCTCCCATATCCGTACTCTTTTCATTCCAAGTTGCGCTCTCGATTCGCATCCGTACGGACAAGGTAGTGGACAGCAATGTCAGCAATCTTTGACTCCTCCTCTCCCTACGGGGGAAGTAATCAGTCCGCAGGACCAAGCTACGGAAATCCCTCCAGCAATTCAGGAGGACCTCCATCTCTTCAGTTCTACTCTTCGGGTGGAGCGTCGTCGCAGGGATTTGGAGCAGGAGGAGGCGATCCTTCTGCAGGGGCCGGAAGCTACGCGCAGGGCGGGCCCGGCAGGAGTAGTCTGGAGGGCAACATGATGAGCTCTGGATTTGGCAGCGCTGACAGAGCCATGATGAGCGCTCAGATGGGTTTTTGGAGCGCATTTGGTACGGGCGGATACCCTGATGAGCCGGGGTTGATGGAGGGTGAGTGCGGGCTCATTAGATCTACTTGGCGTAGGCAAACATCGTTCGGAGAAACAAGAGGAGGTGATCCAAAGCTGATTTGTCCATTGCTACCGTCGCTGCCGCTCGCGACGAATCCATGCACCCCAGAGCTCGGCATCAACTTCTCCCACATCATCGATAGGAGCTTGACGGTCTTGAACCCGCTCCACTCTTACAGCGCATCACATCAAAAGGATGCGCACATGATGGACGACGCGGATCTGGCAGGGCCCCTGCTCTTTGCGTTTGCCTTCGCTATGCTGCTCTTGCTAGTAAGTCATGCCTTGGATGTCCCCTGAGGTCGATCAGCACAGGCACAGGCACTCACGCTGCAAGACCGCGCTTTCCTGCTGCCCATCTTGGATCATTTTTCATAGTCTGGCAAATCGCAATTTGGCTACATCTATGGTGTCGCTCTGTTGGGCGACATCTCCATCTACATGCTACTCAACATGATGTCTGAGGAAGGCATAGATGCTTATAGGGTAGCATCCGTGCTGGGCTACTGTCTCTTGCCATTGTGCATATTGAGCGCCATCAGCATCGTCATTCGTCTCGAGTGAGTGTGCAGGCAACGATGCCCTTCATTTGACAGCCTTCCTCTTCCCCTCGCGGCCCTTCTGACTCTCCAATCTTTTCACACACACGTGCCACACCAAAAGCTCCTTCTTGGGCTACATTACAGCGCCGCTCTTCATCCTCTGGAGCAGCATCTCCGCCTCTGGCATTTTTGTCAGCATTCTCAGGCTGAGCGAGCAACGCTTCCTCATCGCATACCCCGTCGGACTGCTCTACTCCGTTTTTGCTCTCTTGAGCATCTTCAATTTTGGTCACTGATCTTACCCAGCGTCGCAAGCACACGCGATCCATCGAGGGTGTCATGAACCAGCAGGATACTGTGATTGCACCATTTGATTGCGCTTCGGCATTGTATGCGATGCTATACAACAGGCAAATCGCATCCTTGTACAAGGCCTGCCCGAAGCATGATATAAAGGACTGATCTCGCCGGTGCTAGACACGCGCCTCGCAATGCTTCTTGAGCCACTTGACGGCAAGGTCATCGCCGGACTTTTCAAGTAGGGGCAATACTTTCTGTAGCGTCTCGTCGTGATAAGCATTGATCCAATCCCTCTCAGCCTGGGTGAGCAGAGCAGGGTCTAGGAGACTGGTCTGGATAGGACATAAGGTGAGGTGCTCGAATTGCAGGAAGCCCTGGCAACGAGCGAGTCGAGAGTCGTACAAGGACTGAAATGATCAGTGGCAGTCCCAGTACGAGCGTCTGATGAGATCCAAACCCACCTTGCCGCCGAAATTGTTTGGCGTCTCTGCCTTTCGCACCCTGTTCACACGTCAAGAACGGGAAGCGGCGCGCAAGTCAGAAAGCTAGCGAGATCCTCAGACATACCACGTGGAGCACCCGCGTGAGCTAGATCACGATCTGGTCACTCACAGGACCAAATTCTCGATGCGAATGCCCCATTCGCCGTCCTGGTAGTATCCGGGCTCGTTGGAAACGACCATGCCTTCCTTGAGCGCCGTCTCGTTGAAGACCGCTCTTGTGCCAATGCCATGTGGACCTTCGTGTACATTCAAAAAGTGACCTACGCCATGTCCAACTCCGTGACGGAAGTCGAGCCTGTATCATTCGGACGTTGGCCAATCGGAAGCGTTGCGGCCGTCAGCACTCAGAATTGCGGGTACGAAGAGTGCGAAGAGGTCCTTTACACTCACCCATCTTCCCAGAGTGGTCTGCGAGCAAGAGGGTCCAGTAGGTAGCCCGTGGTTCCTTTTGGGAATGTTGCTCGATCGATGGCGATGTGGCCTTGAAGTACTCGAGTGAATGCTCGCACTTCCTCCTTGCTCGGCTTGCCAAAATGCCACGTCCTAGTCACATCCGTCGTGCCGTCCGTAAACTGAGCTCCTGAATCGCTGCAAAGCAGCGAAACGGTGCGCATGGTGAGTCTGGGCAATGTACGCGGTGACGCAGGCTGTCACGTACCAAAGGTATAGCTTGGAGGGATCGATATCCGGACAGTTCGCAGGGTCTGGCGAGTAGTGGATAATCGCACCATTCGGACCAGTGCTAGAGATGGTTGTGAAGCTGAGACCTCTGAACATGTCAAGTCTGCGCCTTGCATTCTCCAGTTCGTCGGCACCTCTGGCTTCCGAGACCTTTTCTCCCGAGGTCACAGCTTGCTCCAACCATGCGAAATAGCTGGCCAGTGCAGCTCCATCCCGTACATGACAGGCTCTGAAGCCATCCAGCTCAACAGCGTTCTTGACGGATTTCAGATCGACAATGATGCTGCGGTCTACCTTTACTCTGTCAGCTCCTCCGAGAGCTACTTGCACAGCTTGCGATGCTCTTTTGCCAATGACGATCTAATTTGGCAGGGTTCAGTATGTCAGCATCGCATGCCTTGTTTGGAGATCATCCTCAGGAGACGAGCGCCTCACCTTTTCTTCAGCTTGCAGCTTTTTGCCCACCTGAGCCAAGTCGCTGTAAAAGGCATCGTAAGGTCTGACAGCGGCCACCTTTTCTAATTCTTGTCGTGCAGGCTTCTCCAGGGCAGCATCGTTGACGTAAATGTTGACAGCGTCGCGGGTGATGAGCGCAAAGGCAAAGAAGACGGGATTGTAAGGCACGTCTGAGCCTCGGAGGTTGAAGAGCCAGGCCACTTCGTCGAGCATGCTCGCTACGAAACCTTTCGCCCAGTCCCCCTTGCGCTGCAATTCTTCTCTCACTGCCTTGATCTTCTCGGCAGGCGTCGCTCCCGCGTATCTGACGTCCAGAGAAAAGATCGGCTCAGATGGGCGATTGGGCCTCTCTTGCGCGGGCCAAATGGTATCCACGAGGTTCTCGGGCAGTGCGACAATCTTGGACTTGAATTTGGCCAATTCTCCATCGATACTGGCGCAGTCTTCGGCAGATACGAGCGCAGGGTCTATGCCGACCTGGCTGCCGCTAGGCAGGTTCTTTGACAAATACTCCTGCCACGTAGGAACTCCTGTCTCGCCCTGCTTCATCAGCGTCCATGTTGGCTCGTGAAGCTGCTGGCCAGCTTGAAGAAAGTAGCGACCATCTGTGAACAGGCACGCCTCTTTCTCCGAAACGACTGCTGTTCCGGCAGATCCGGTAAAGCCAGTGATGTAGCCTCGGCGGAGATCAGATCTGAGAGACGAGGGCAACTTCAGCAATGATGTTCGCATACACCGTCTTTGGCAGCAAAGGTGTCTCCTCCACTTACTCTGCAGGATATTCGGAGGCGTGCGAGTCTTCCGAGGGGATGACGCTAGAATACAGCTAAGACCGTGTCAGCATCGCTCTCGAATGCTTATCTATACACGATGACCCACTAAGCAGACACGCCTTTTTGCTTCATCAATTCCCTCAGAGCCTGAACCCTCTTGCTGGTATCAACGCGTGGTGTAGCTACGGCGCCCATTGTGTCAGATTTGGATGTTTGAGTGCCTGTGGTGTATTCTCTTCGAGGCAATCTTGGAAGGTCTGCAACTCTAGCAGGATGAAAGGATGGATCCGCAGCCGGATTCGTGTCAAATTCGTGGGCCTGGGAGCGTCTCGCGATATGTGACAGACCGTAGTATCTATCTGATCCTGCTCCAATCGCGGACTGTTGACGTTGTCGCTGAATGGTGAAGGAGGGGAATGGGCAGCGGAACGCTGCTGAATGACTTGATGTGAAGCACGCGACGTCTTTCTTGAACGTACGTAGAACAGGATGCATGGATGAGCTCGTGAACGTCTCGACAAGGCGCTCTGTTGACGACGAGGGAGATATGAGGATGGAAGGAGCAGCGAAAAGAGGCCGCTTGAAGCCAGACGATGAGCAGCAGCTTGATGGCCGTTATCGCTTGTTGCCTTCGTCACGCGAGCGCTGCCGCTGATGATGATGCATGTGGTGCAGCCCGAGCATGTCATCAGCAGCAGCAGCGGCGGCCCGGGTGTGCGAGGTGCTACACGGTATAACAGTCACGAGTAGGCATGCAGCACGCGCGCGATCCAGGATGGCTCGACCGCCCCGCGACCCGCGGCGAAAGTTCCGTTTGCAGTCGTGAGTCAGCGTTGGGTCTTGAAGGTCACGTGAGTTCTTCTCGGCGAGAGAGATTCAATTCAAATTCTTGACAGCTCCAGGAAGATCCTACAAATGTCAAGGCAAGCATCTTGATTCACGATTCAGGATTCACGATTGATGACGAATTGTGAAGTCAGTCCTTGACACTCGTGACTGTTGACCTGTGCTCGACTTACCTTGTCGCCGCTGCGAATGCAGCCGAGTCGTCGGAGCTGCCTTTCGACCTCTGCTGAACATGTTTCAAGATCGAGCAGCGGCTGACCCGCACGAGGCATGCCCCCTGCTGAGCGCAGCTATCAGCATGACTGGTCATTGACAGAGCACTCCGAGAGCCATGCCGCATGTGTGGGAAGAAACCAAGGTACTCTCTTCCAGATACGGTTGCTCAGGGTGACGTCCGAGCTTGTCTATCTCGTCTGCATCAGCATGCTGTGTGGGGCACTCATGCGTGCCAGAGAGCGTGCAGACCCTGCTGTGCGGATTGCTTGTCGCCAGAATCTGAATGGCGTTCCGGCCCGGCTTTTTCTGGCCGCGCGCATCATGCACGCCAGTCGTGAGTCGTGAGTTTAGGGAAGGAGCCTTGTGCGCGTGCGTGCATTCGCCCGTGTGGAGCAAAACCAAAGTCGGGTCAGAATCACGTTGCCACGGCCATGCGTTAGCAGCAGGGGCAAGCTGATGATATACATTCAAATTCGTGATTCATGTGCTGATCAGCGTCGCATTCACGACTCACACGCACGACTGGTGGGACGATGCTGTGACTGTGACTGAAGAAAAAGCGACAGGGTCGGTAAGTCAAAGTGCTGACCTTGCTCTCATACAACACCATCCCTACCATCCTGACCACCACCTTACTCGCTCCCAGGCTGCGCCTATACTCCGTTTCACAGCTGCTGCGTACAAGAGACCATTCACCTGATACGGGCGTGCACCGCTCAACCCCTGCGGTGCATACAGCATCTATAGAAGCCCATGCTTGCGAGGCCTCCGTACACCGTCCCGCCACACGTTGTGAAGATCTACCATCGCGAATTCATCCTGGCAGATCAATTTTTCCATACCCACGCTTGGCCACGATGCAGTACGTTGGGCGTCTCGTTTCGAGCGTGTACAACTCTGTGCCCTCCATCAATCCCGCAACTCTCAGTGGGGCCATCGACATTATCGTAGTGGAGAGGCAAATCGAGACAGAAGAGGAAGTGGAAGATGATGGGAGCAGTGATGGACCTCTTGGATCTGGCATTGCTGCTGCGGGTCCCTCGAGACCGGCGCAGAAGAAGAAGAGGAAAGTGCTGACCACGGAGTTGAGCAGGTGAGTCTGGCCTGTGTCGGGTTGGGCTTTTGTGCGCACCGAGCTGAGTCCCACCCGCACCACGTTTCCTTGTACGCTACGCAGCACTCCTTTTCACGTGAGATTTGGAAAGATGTCGGTGTTGCGGCCTGCGGAGCGCAAAGTCACATTGCACCTCAACAACTCTGCCGATCCCCTCCCATTCGCAATGAAGGTAGGCGAAGCCGGCGAGGCTTTCTTCGTTTTGGAGCTGAACGATGAGGAAGCTCAAGGCGCCATACCAGACGATCTAGTCACATCACCCATTCTCAGCCCAGCTACGAGTCCCGATTTGGCCGGAAACGAGCTTGACGGGGCTGAGAGCGGAGCGGTGGCGCAAAGTCCCATAGAGGCATTGGATCTAGGTGCTAGTGTCACGATGGAGGCTGAGGCGGCCACCTTGAGTGCGGCCGAGGACGATGCTCAGTCTCAAACAACTACAATTCAGAGCAACGAAACCGCAGATACAGGTATCACCATCCCAAACTCGTCCGGAACATCTACCGCGAGCGCGGAGAAGCGTGGTCAAAGTCCTGCAAGGGCCGACGCCTCTGGTGATCACGGCGTGAACCCTGAAGCGGCAGATGCAAAGGGGACAAGCGACAAGTCGTTGGACTCTGGAAAGGGTGGAAGCGGCAGGGCTGGAGCGCACAGCACGCTAGGCCAGGTAACGAATGCGGCGGCCAAGGCGGGAGGAGCGTTGGGCGCAGCAGGCAAAGCTGTTGTCGCGCCGCTCAGTGGCAGTAATGCCAAGTTGGAATCTGTGCGCAAGCGTCAGGAGCGCCAGGAGCCCCACGATAGCGCTCCATTAAGCCAAGAGGAGAGCGGAAGCTCTGCAAGTCCGTGGCATACGACGGGCGAACGAAGCGATGGCAAGGAGAGGTTGCAGCAGCAAGACGACGATGCGCCACCTGATCCTCCGAGCACCAACGACACCGAGACAGAGAAGCTCGAGCAAGTGCTCAAGAAGAGAGCAGAGGGCCTTGTGCAGCAGGTCAAAGCTGCAGCTGACGAGGAGAGCTTTCGAGCGCCGTCAGAGACGCCAAATGCAGCAGACGAAAGGGAAGAGGCGTATCCAGCACCATTTGATGCAATTGCTGGCGGGGATGACGATGCGTCTGAGGGCAAAGGACTGAGAACCCGGCCCACGGCGCAACTTGATCATGCTGACTATCTTGGCGGGGAAAGGATGCCCCGCATTAAGACAGGCACCGAAGACGTCGACCTGAGTGCAAGCGGCGTCGACCCTTCCACTCTCAGAACCCAGCTCGACCAGCAAAGGCACATTCATCGGCACGAAGGTACTGACAAAGAAGAAGTTGAAGCAGAGGCAGGCGAAGTCAGAGAAGAGAATGTTGCTGACAAGCCACCAGGAAGTCCAAGGCGCAAAGAGGACTTGCAGTATATGCTGGACATGGATGGCTACCATATGACCTCTGACGGCGAGAGCCTCGCGTATTCTGAGGCTCAGCGACTCGCAAAAGAGGTTCCTCTGAGCAAGAGACACGGTGGCGCCGGCCGACACAGCGCGGATCTTTTCCATCATGATAGATCACAGAGTACGGAACTTTTGCGCAAGGCAGTCGCAGAGGGCTCAAGACCTCGCAGTGCCAGCCGTGCTTCGGTAACGGATTCGGTCACGAACAGCGATGGTGACAGCACCAGCAACCCTGCCAAGATGTTCCGGCGCGGTTCACACTCAGGCGCTTCAGAGCCGAGAGTATCGGGGGACGCCCAAACCATTCTGGGCTTCCGGAACGAGAGCTCATCTCTTGGAGGTGACTTGGAGGACTCGCTCAACAGCGACCAACTGAGTCTAAGCCGAGACTTGGTGCGGCTGACCAGGATGATGAGATCCAAAGATGATCCTGTGGACGAGGCCCACTTTGACGATCCTGTCCCAAGGTCGGACGCTCGGACGCCAAGACCTGCCAGAAACAGAGGCCCGAGCAAGACTGTGCGGCGGCACTTCCAGGATACATCGTTGAGTGACACGGAAGCCGACGCGCCGAATTGGTCTTCGAATACGGACTACCGAGCTCACCAACGCGCTACAAGGGCGGACACGGAATTTGGCTCGAAGCCTGAGCGCAGTGCGCCCAATGATCAAGATCGCTTCCAGTCCTCGGACTACGACTGGGAGTGGGGTCAGATACCAAAGGTGCACGACAGACCTCGAGCGCGCGTGACAAGTCTGGATGCGGAGGATGTGTCGTCCACCTCACGTGCCCGCGGAATCGATCTCGAAAGAGGGGACCTGGCAGACGACGGTTTCGCTCCTACGGTGGGCAGGCTAACAGCGACCGATGAAGCGCCGTACGACTTTTGCCTGGTGCTCAACGATGCCTCACATCGATTTGAGCTGTCACTATGCTACCACGAGGGCTTCGATATTGAGCGAACGACCCACGTGGCTGGCGCCACTCGCGATGAGCCGCATGTCGACGTAGACGCCGAACTTTTCGACGAGAATAGAGTCAGCTTCCAGCGATTCATGGGTGATCCAGACATTGTCAACGACGAACGCTTGGTCGTCAGGTACAATGAAAGGTTTATGACCTGGGAGAATGCTTCTGCGGTGCTGGCGACCCTTTCCCTCTGCCGCAAGACAATGTCTGCAGCCCTTCTTGCTGATCAAGCGGCCAGGACAGCTGGCACCAGCGCAGATGCGCAGGCACCGCCACAAGCTGGTGAGCGAGCTAGTGTTTGGAGCAGGCTATGGAACCGCAAGCGCACTACGGCCAGTGCAGCAGATCTGGAAGCAGTCCAAAGCGCGAGTGCTGCAAGTGAAGACCAAGCCTCTCTTCAAGGTGGATCGCTACGATTCCCACCTGCTCCCCTCGACCGATCACACACAGACTCCGAACTTGCGAGTGGCCCTGCCGCCGTCAAGCCCTCGGACGTGGGTAACGATGCAGCTGGTCCGGCCATACCGATGCCATCTCGTGCGCCAAAAGTGACGCACAAGACCTACGCCAAGACTCTGAGACTGAGCTCGGATCAGCTCAAGTCCCTGAACCTGCGGAAAGGCGCAAACAAGATCACCTTCTCCGTCACCTCGAGCTATTCTGGTGTCGCGACCTGCACAGCACGTATTTTTCTATGGGAAGCTAGCCATCGCATCGTCGTCTCTGACATTGACGGAACCATCACGAAATCTGACGCACTCGGGCACGTGTTCACGATGATTGGACGCGACTGGACACATGTGGGCGTGGCAAAGCTATATACGGACATTGCCCGCAATGGCTACCGCATCATGTACCTCACGAGTCGCGCTATTGGGCAAGCTGACGCGACTCGCGACTACCTTCGTGGCATTCGACAAACCAATTATCAGCTACCAGACGGACCGGTAATCATGAGCCCTGATCGGCTCATTGCTTCTCTACACCGCGAAGTGATCCTGCGCAAACCAGAGGTTTTCAAAATGGCTTGCTTGAGGGATATAGCTCGCCTTTTTGGACACGATCCGCGCGCGACTTCGACGGCCGCAAAGGACCTCAGACCCGGGGCTGTCGAGAAGAGTTTTCCGGGTGTTTCGCAAGCGTCTATCGACCTCGCGACTGGAGACGCGACTGCGGCTGCAAGTAGTCCTTCTGAAGGTGCAGCAACAGCCAGCGATACTCCCGCGACCGGAACGTTACAGCAGACCTCGGTAACAGATCAGGGGCCCAATTTGACTGTCTCGATGTCGCCCTTCTACGCGGGCTTTGGCAACAGGATCACCGATGCGTTGAGCTATCGAAGTGTCAACATTCCCAGCTCTCGCATCTTTACCATCGACTCCAATGGAGAGGTAAAGATGGAGCTGCTCGAGCTTGCAGGATACAAGTCTTCGTGAGTGATGAGAACCGAATTCTTAAGTAATGGAGCGCCCGCTGACCCCTCTTGGATCCCAAATGCCTAGGTACATCCACATGACTGATCTAGTGGACCAAATGTTCCCGCCCATTACAGTAAAGTCGGAGGCAGCTGCGATCAAGCCAGAGTACAACGACTTCAACTTTTGGCGCCCATCTCTGAGCACATTTGAGCTGCCTCCAGACGATGAGCTCATGCCCACGCCACCAGTCTCTCCCGCGCTCTCGGCAAGAAGCGGACGAAGTGTGCGCAGCAATGCTAGCTTGAGGAGCGCGACCACAGATACGGTGACTGCGAAGCCTGATGAAGAGCCTCGACGCAGGAGTCGATTCGGTCTGGGCAGTCTGGGACTCAGCAGAAAAGGTAGCGCTCAGACTATTGATGTGCCCGATCAGACCAGCACTAGCTCCGCCAAATCGCAAGCTGCTTTGACGAGCCCTTCTGCGCCGGACCTTACAGCGTCGACTGCGGACGGTGCACGAATCCCACAACGATCAGAGTCGGACCCTGATGCGGCAGCAGCTGCTGCTTATGGCACGAGCCCCACAGGAAGCTCGTACGGATCAGGCGCCAATTCTTCTTGGATAGCCCCGTGGAGAAGACGCAGAGCAGCGTCGCCCGGCGAAACATCTGGAGGAGCGAGTGCCACTTCGCCGCTCGTGGGACCCGTCATCACTGCCGAACCGGATTCGGATGAGGAGAATGTGGCGAGCGATGATGATGATGTCAGCGTATTTGGCGATGGACAAGACTTGTCATCGAGCAAGCAGAGACGGGACGAGGAAGATGAAGGGGAAGATGATGAGGAAGAAGACGAGGATGCGGATAGCAACGACGAAGAGCCGATCAGCGGTCGCGAGGGTGCCAGAAGACGCGATCGAGCAAGAGGTGGCAGGGATGAGGAGGTCATTGATGATGATCTGCTGGCTGGTGGCGAGATCCGCTTTGATTGGAGATAGGCTCATCAATGGACTCGCACTTCCAATTCCATTCAAATCTTTGGCCGCGTCAAGATTCTATTCGTCTGGTTCGCCTTCCATCTGCTGCCTCCTACCCTTTGCCCTCCTCTACCACGGTGTTACTTTTGTCATCGCATACACGCCACGTTCAGACTACGTATCCTTGCAGCACTTGAACATATTCGCAAATGAAGGATCGAGGAGGAGAAGTTCTCGTGACGACTAGACGCATGAGGGTGCGCTTAACTCCCCGATCTCGCAAAATAAAAGTGACAATGTAGGTTCGAGTGCAGGACAGGTACTAATACATTCGCACCAACCAAGTCTTGGGCCAAAGACGAGATGGTAGGAGGGGTGAACGAGGCCAAGGGATTTGGACAAGAGAGCCAGTCAGCTATAGTACTAGTGGTCACGACCCGTGAGTATTCTGACTCGAGACGACGAGCAAATGGTTCATTTCATCGGCCAAAAGCCAGCCTCCTAGCTATCCTCCTCCTCGCCTCTTCCTTCTCCTTTTCCGTCATCCTTCTCTTTTTGCTCCTCTTCTCTTGATCTCTCCCTTCCTCCTCATCATCGGAAGGCAGCAATGCCAATGCGCCATCGTCTTGCACGGCACCAGCCTTTCGCCTGCCATCTTTGACGTTGCTATCGGAGAGGAGGGCGTGCGCGGTGCTGGATGAGTCGTCGGCAGAGGAATCTTTGGGTATACGAGGAAGATCCGAGATGGGAGTGGGTGGAGGAGAAGCTTTGAAATAGGCGTGTTGCATGCACTGATAGATTGGAGTGATGAGAGGTGGAGAACGAAGGGGAGGGGAGGAAGCATGTCATCTCGTGTAAGCTGAGCAATCCAACTGGCGTGTGATCACGGATTCATCACAAATTGGCAAACCCCGCCTGCAATGAGAGGGAAGAGGGAGCCTACGCATGCTCACATCGGATGCGCTCAACCTCTCGGTGGGGTCGAATTGGAGTAAGCGGGAGAGCAGGTCCAGCGTTTCTGAAGAAGCTGCACTGAACAGCATGGCGAGATCCTGTTTTGGATGCTGTTCAAAAGGCATAAAGTTTGGCAAGTACTTTGCTCGCTATCGAAGTCGCAAGAGAGGGAGGGGATGGAAGGGGGGTGCAGGGTGAACAGCACGGATATGCCAAAAAGGATCTCAGCTCAAGCTAGACTGCATTTCTTGTAGCAGATGCCTGATGACTCACCGACCACTCTTTCTCAGTGGGCGTGCCGAGCGCTCGAAGGATGATGCTGAGCTGCTCCAGATCGCTCTCGCCTGCCATATAAGGGACGCGCAAATGCAGCTCTGCAAAGATGCACCCCACGGACCACATGTCCACAGCGGTAGAGTAATGTCTAGCGCCCAACAACAATTCCGGACATCTGTACCATCTGTCAGCGTGAACAATACACAGGCGCATGATTAGAGAGAGGAATGGATGCGTGAAGCGAAGGAGTACCAGAAGCATCGACGTCAAGCGCTCACCGGGTCACCACCTGATTGCTCATCTTTTGACCTGGCTCGCCGAACCCTCGAGCCAGACCGAAATCTGCGATTTTCAGCTCACCGCTGGGGGCGATGAGCAAATTGTTGGGCTTGAGATCCTTTATTGCGTTTGCGATGAGCGATCAAGAGGCACAAGCGAGGTGCGTACGAGTCAAAACAAGCTGACTGCGCGGTATGGCATGTTGGTGTGATGCCAGGGCACTGCAGACTCACGCGATGCAGACAGCCCATGCGATGACAGTAGTCCAAACCTCTGCACATCATGCCCATCCAGCTCTTTATGTCCGCTGGTCTAAACACAATGCCTTGATGCTTGATGATGCATTCCAAATCCGTTTCGAGAAATTCGAGCACCAGATTCAGACTTGGGGTCATGCTTGCGCCACCAGAACTGAACACATCCACCAATCGGATCACGTTCGGATGATGCAGTTCGCGCAGGAATTGAACTTCTCGCAAGGCAGTCATGTCCAATCCGTCGCTGGAATTGACGATTTTGATCTTTTTGATGGCCAATCTTTCTCCGGTGATGGTATCGCGAGCTAAAAAGACGGAGGCGTAGGTTCCTTCGCCTACTTTGGACAGCTTGGTGTAACGCTGCTTGGCCTCCATGCTTGTCAAAGAGGTGGAGACTGAGGCTGAAGCTGAAGCTGAAGCTGAGATGTTGGATGCGCTCGAAGCGGCAAGCGAAGCGTGGCAGATTCGATGGGATAGCGCAAAGCTGCGAGGGAGTGCCAAGCCTTGTGCTCAGCAAGCGGTGAATGCGAATCAAGAATGGGCGACGTTGCGAGAAGAGATGACCCCGAAAGAGCGCATACGACTTGACTCGTTGCTGCTCTGCTCTTGCAAAGACGACGAGTGGATGCTGTGCTGCGTATTGCGTCCACTCGTGACTCCTTCTTTCGTGCAGTCACGAGCGTCGAGTCGATTGTTTGGCCCTTCCGGTTGTGCGTGTCTGGCGTATGTCGGTACCCAGTCACGAGTCACGGATCGAGTCACAGTGACTTGGAGCTAGATTACGAATCTGGATAGTGATACGAATATTGAATCTTGAATGTAGCTATCATGAGGAATCTTTGTTCTTCCCGATCCACATTTGTGCTTCGATTGTGATGCTTGACTCACGACTCAATCACCAATTCAAATCGTGAACCTGCTGGTGATTCATGAACAACGAAGCGCGGGCCCAGTTGAGTCACGAGTTTCTTGTGAGTTCGAGTGGAGGCGTGTGGTCACGTGTCAGACCAAAATCGAGAAATTTGAATCTGTATTTCGAGTCGCAAATCACGAATTGGAATTCGTGATTTGAATCAAATGGTGAATGAATGCCTTGGCGTTTCGTAGCGCTTACCATTCTCCTTCACGTACCCCCCTCCCTGCCTTTTCCCTCAGCCTCAGACCGTGTCAAGCAAGATCTCAATCGTCAAACGTCCGGCTCAAAGTTTGCAGTTAGCGAGACATTGGTCATCATCGTAAAATGTCTCATCTGGTGCAGCGCGTTGAGGATGACGATTCGAAACTTCTGCGGCATCGGTACAGCTGTATAGCGCACGAAGCAGCAGCAGCACAGTCTGCCATGCGCCTCGCCTCGCCTTCGTGATTGATCGCTGTGGATGCATTTGACTTGCTGCGGCGTGTGATAGCGGTGCCCTTTTGCAGTGCAGGAGTGCAAATGGTGAGGGTGATTTTACATGATGGGCCTGTGTGACGAGACTCAATTGCACCTCTGTCCGGTGCGGTAGGGTGAGGGTTGGGATGCATTCTTGCCTTGCTCTTGGCACACGGTCTACCTGACCTCCAGAGCCTCGCTGGTCTCGTTCGCCTTCAAGACCGTGTCGCACCGCTTGGACAGATCCTTGACCCTCTCCCTTGCCAGATTGATGGCTCGCCTAAGCACCCTTGGCGAGATCGCTTTTCCGCCTGCGTGATCTATAGAGCAGATATCTCCTTGAGGCGTAGCGACGATCTGTATCACAGCATCTGCTAATTCCGCCTCCAAAGGATCCGGATCCACAAGCAGGATTTGTCCGTCATCTTCAAGCTGCGCATTTCTTCTGTCTTCGTTCTTTCCCGTCGGACCGAGCTTATTGAGCGCTTGGTGAGAAGCGATATCAAAGTAGACCAATGTGACGCTTAGAGGCGTATGATGCAAGGCGAGCGGGATAGGAGCATGCGAAGCGGGATCGTGCAATGTTGTCTTCGCCCTGTTTCGACGGATGCTGGCGGATGCGGAGGAGGAGAGTGGACCTCTGCGACGAGGGATGGAGGCTCCTCCTTCGACGCTAACATCTGGTCGACGAAATGAGCGCAAGGAGAGGAGACTGCTCAGCACCGCTGCGTCTACAGAAGTGGACAGCCCTGCCCAGGAGAGAAGGTGCACAAAGAGCGTGATGGACCAGACCTGGTACGTTGATGCAAGCAGTGGAGATGGGTAAGTGTATGCGCTCTTGTGAGCGGACAACGGCTTCGAGTGCAAGTCTTGAAGGGACTCTCGAACACTCACCTTTTGACCAGCTACGACGCACAGAGCTTCTCTATCCACCACCTGACACCTCCTCACAGCTCTCTCCACAGCTCTCTCAAACTTCAACTCTTCATCTCCCGTTCTATTCCGCTCGAACTGAACACCCGCGATAGAGCCTACTTCTATCTTGCAATCCAATGTTCCTTCATAAGGTCTTTCTGATCTAGGTTCGGTCAGCTCTGCTACGATGTGCGTTATGACTTTGGATGTGCCGATAGAGACGCTGCATGTGCCTGGCGTGGAGCCGAGAGAGAGGGAGAGGGGTAGAGGGGAATGAAATGATCGCCGACCGTCTGGACGCAGATTGGAACGCAAGGCGCTGAAGAGGAAAGAAGTGGCCGTGCTGGACGCTTCCAGGGGTACGTTGGGGGCCATTCCTGCCGGATATGCTTCTCTCGTACGGAGTGCCTAATGAGCGGATCGATAGCTGGCTGCTGCAGGGGTGCGAGCGTGTGCGATTTGATTGAGCGCAGCGGATGTATGCTTCCTACTGATCTTGAGTATGAGAGTCGTGAGTGCTGAGGGCAAGATACAGAAGAGCTGGCTCGAGGTGATGTGCCCATAATCGTGGAATGTGGATGTGATATGACCAGCATGCAGGAACTGAACGTCTTCTCCAGCTCGAGAAGCGCAGACATCATCAGCCAACCTGATCTGATTTTGTGCTTTCTTTATTCCCAAGCAAATCAAAATCAAGAATAACACTCATAAAGCAGCCAATTTTGGATAAATTCAAGATTCAAAATCCACGGTTGCTCCGCCGAACCTCAGTCACGTGCGCACCGCCATCCCAAAATTTTGGAAGGAGCAACCCGCACGCGCACGAAGGAAGAAATTATTTGACCGCGCGGCTGAACGAACGACTCTCGACTCTCCCTGAAGTGAACTCACACGCAGCGTGCAGCGATCACTTCCAATACGCTTCGATGGCGCCTCTCGCTTTTCCACTCTTCTACATCGCTTCCATCAGTCGCCCTCTCGCCCAATACACTCGTTCGAGCCCATCATGAGTCTCAAGCGCCCTCACGATAGCGCAGAGTCGAGCAAGAAGAAGTCGCGCTCAAGCGCGAATGGACCCGCGAGCAAGGTCAGAGGTCAGACCTCCCATCAACGACCGGCGGTTACACCCGCTCCCGCTCGAGCTCCAGAAGCTGATTTTCCTCGCGGAGGCGGTAGCGGCTTGACCCCTTTGGAACATGCTCAGGCACTGCGAGAAGGCCGAGCTGAAAGAGCAGCAGCTGCGGATTTGTTCACCGAGAACAGCAAGAAGAAGAAGAGCAGCAGCAGCAGCAGCGCCTCGAGCGCTGTCAACGCTAATGGATCGACTCGAGGAAAGAAGCAGGGAGAGTCGGATGAGGCTGCAAAGGCGAGAAGACGGAAGGAGTGGAGAGAGATGCGAAATGCGAAAAAGAAAAAGAGTCTGGTGTTGGATCACACGAGGCCAGGCGCTGCTGCAGATGCTGATGAGGAGGACCGCACCAGAGTGGAGCATCTCAACTACAAGGTGAGTTGATGGCACAGACGAGCGCGCCTGAGGAGACAAGGACATGTCCAACCAACACTCTGGCTCATCTTGTCCCCCGCCCTGTAGCGACTCTCACCGGGCTCCAGAATGCTCTGCACTGTGCTCGCTGTGCACCCTCTTGCTCTAATCGTCTCGCTGCCCAACCAGCTTCTTGGGCACATTCCTCTCACCAACATCTCTTCCATCCTTAATGAGCGTCTAAAGGCGGCAGCTGAGGAGAGCGATGATGAGGAGAGCGACGAGGAAAAAGATAGCGAAGACGAAGACGCGCCACCTCAGCACTTGCGTTCGGATAGCGAGGACACATCAGAAGATGGTAGCGCTGAAGGCGCAACGAGTGCAAGTAAAGGGTTGCCCGAGCTTCGTGATCTCTACAAGGTTGGGGATTGGCTCAGGGTGTACGTGGTAGCTATCAAGAGCGCAGGTGCAAAGTCGTTAGGAAGGGAAGGGCAAGAGTACCAACGAGATGCGGGGCGTGTAGAGCTCAGTCTAGATCCCGCTCTCCTCAATGATGGCATTACACCGCAAGAGGTGCTGCCGAGCGCACTGCTCTCCATCGCTCTCAAGACCAAGGAAGACCACGGATGGACTCTGGACTCTGGTATTGCCAACCTCTCCGGCTTTGCTGCGATTTCGGATGTGCCCGCCAGTGCCCAGGTGGGCCAAGTCTTCACCGCTAGCGTCAAAGAGTTTCAGAAGGGCTCAAGAGTCTTCACCGCTACTTGCCATCTGAACGAAGTCGGAAAAGCGATGCTAGGCGCCGAAACGGCCCCTTCGCTCTCCATGCTCGGACCCGGCATGCTCGTCTCGGCTCTCATTACCCATGTGGATGATGATGGTTTGTCCGCCAAGCTGTGGGGATTGTTCAACGCTTCTATAGATGCTGCTCATCTACCGCTTCCACCCAACAAGACGATGGAGCAGGCATACAAGATTGGCTCCAAAATCAAGGCTAGGGTACTTTGGGATCTGGGACCCAACGCTGTGGGGCAAGATCCGGCAGATGACCAAGACTCTGCTGAAAAGCAGGGCGGAAGAAAGTTGGCGCTCAGTCGTGCGCCGCACGTGCTTGAGCTCAAAGCCCCTCCCGGTCTGGAAGGATATCCGATGGGTACGAAATTTTCGGTAAAGGTCGCGCATGTGGACAAGGAGTGGGGACTGTCGTGCGAGATTGTCGATGGTGGCAAGAACGCACCCAAGACCTTTGTGCACATCAGTCGAGTTTCCGACGACCACGTCGTTGGTTTGTCGGCATCTTCTGGACGCTGGAAGGAAGGGAGTCTGCACGAAGCTAGAGTAATCGGACACGCGCCCACGGACGGCAGATTGTTGCTCTCTTTGCAAGCGAGCGTGCTCAAACATACCTTTATGCGCGTATCCGAGCTCGCTGTTGGCTCGGTGCACAAGGCTACGGTGGCTAGCATAGGACCAGGAGGCAATGCCATCTTCTTAGATCTGGGAGGCACCACGCACGGAGTCGTTTTTCCTCTGCATTTTGCTGATGTGCCTCTTCGCAAACCGGAGAAAAAGTACAAAGCGGGCGCGGTTGTGAAGACGAGGATCATTGGCGTGGATCCTACTCGCAACCGCATCAGCTGCACGCTCAAGAAGAGCTTGGTCTCGTCGGACTTGCCCATGATCGCCGCGCTGCAAGATGCTAGGGTAGGTGTCGTCACTGTAGGAACGGTCTCGAGATTCTTGGAACCAAGGGCCAGTACGAGCAGTGCTGCTGGCAATCCGACCGCTCTGCTAGTCGACCTGCTGGGCGGGCTTAGAGCGCTGGTGCCTGGTGCTGAAGCCAATGACGGAACGAGCTTGAATAGCTCGGGCACGTCCCTCAGATCTACCTACTTTGAAGGCAAAGTGGTCAGACTCAGATTAACGCAAGTTGACTACTCTACCGGACGAATCACTGCTTCTATCCGACAGGCGTCTCCCAGCTACTTGGCTAGACTCGATGTGGACGCCGTGTCGCTTGGCGACAAGGTCCAAGCGCGCACGGCAGCTGTTCATACGGACGTCGTCGTACTCGAATTGCTACCTTCGCGCACGAGAGCGCTCTTGAGCTTGCAAGCTCTTGCGCAGGAGCGCTCCAAGGACGTGGAGCAAGTCAGATCGGAACTGCAAGAAGGTGAAATCATTTCTGATCTGGTCGTGGTGGACAAGAACAAGGACAAAGGTCTCGTCATCCTCGGTAACTCTTCCGCCAGACCCAAGTCGTCCTCTTCCGGTGTCCGGGAAGGCTCAATTGTCAGCGGGATGGTCGTCGCTAGGGGGAGGGAGCCTAATGTCGCTTCAATACTTCTACCGAGCGATGTCATGGGCAGTCTGCACGCTACTGACTGCCACGACGAGTTTCAAGAGGATCCGCTCCCGGAACACAAAACGAAAGTGGAGGTGGTAGTGCTGGGACTGAGAGGCAAGGACAAGAAGCGTGCCATCGTGTCCATGCGACCATCAGAGCTGGCCAAAGCTCGTGTGTCGGGTGCCGCAGATGCCAGCTCTGCACGTGACCTTGCCTCGGAAAGCTTGGCGTCCATCAAGGAGGGAGATCAACGAAAAGCATACGTCAAGGCTATCGCTAATTCTGGCCTGTTCGTCGAGCTGGCCAGAAATGTTACGGCGAGAGTGTTAATCTCGGAACTCTTTGATGAATACGTGCACGAGTGGAAGTCTAGTTTCAAAGTAGGCCAACTGGTATCTGGCACGGTGACTAGGTGAGCGTTCAGCGGGGGAACTGCAACAGGTCGATTGGTCTGACTGCCCTTCCCCCTCTTTTCCCTTTGCCTTGGAATGAGCAGTATCGACCCTGAGACGCATAGAATGGAATTTTCCCTCAAGTCGGAACCGGGCAGCAGTGCAAAGAGCAGAAAGGATGCCGCGGCTCGCAAGGAAGCGCAGTCTGTCGAGAAGCTCAGCTTGCAGGACCTGGAGGTGGGACAAAAAGTGGACGGCTTTATCCGCGCGGTGGCCGAATTCGGCGTTTTTGTGCAGATTGAAGGGACGCGCATCAGTGGGCTTGCGCACAAGACCGAGGTGAGTTTTTATCCCTGGCGGGCAAGAAATTTGTTGCATGTCGCGTTGCGTCGCGTCGCGAGATGTGCAGGCTGATGATGCACCGTTTTCGGCAATGGCGATCGTTTCTTAGTTGTCCGATAACAAGGCGGCAGACGCTCTCAAGGCTTTTAGCGTCGGGGACAAGGTCCGCGCAGTCGTGCTCAAGATCGATTTGCCCAAGTCGCGCATCTCTTTTGGTCTCAAACCTAGCTACTTTGACGAGGCAGACTACGAAGAAGAAGAAGAGCAGCAGGAGGAGGAATCAGAAGAGGAGGGCGATTTTGAGGATGGCTCGAGTGATGTCGAGATGGACGGGGAAGCATTCTTGGCCAAGCTGCAGGCTGAGGACGACTCGGATGATGACGAGCGCCTTGAGCTGCACGCGGATGAAGAAGACGATGAAGAGATGGTAGGCAGCGGAGATGCGTCAGATAGCGACAAGAGCGATGACGAAGAGGATGACAGCAGCGAGGAGGAGGAGCTTAGTTCTGAGGCCGTCAGCGGTCAGACGGTGGTGGACGACGATGAAGAAGAATCCTTCTCCGCTTCCGACGTGGACCCTGCTGCCAAGTCCATGCAAGCAAAGCACATCGTGCCAGCCCTAGAGCTTGCTGGAGGCTTCAGCTGGTCAGTGCCACAAGATGGTGCCCAGCTGCCTGGGCAGCCCATCTCTGGTTCTGAAGACAGCGATCAGGATAGCGAGGACGACGAAGGCGAATCTGCCGAGGATGATGCGGCAGCAAACGGCACCAAAGAAAAAGGCCAGCCAAAAAAGAAGAAGAAGAGCAAGAAGGCTGCTGCTGGACAAGAAGACTTGACTGCTGATCTTGCGACCAAGCAGCCAGAGTCGACTGCCGATTTTGAACGAATGCTTTTAGGCTCGCCACACTCCTCTTATCTCTGGATCCAATTCATGTCTTTCCAATTGCAGCTGTCCGACGTGGAGAAGGCGCGGGAGGTAGCACGACGCGGCCTAAAGGTCATTTCTTTCAGAGAAGAGCAAGAAAGGCTCAACGTATGGATCGCCCTTCTTAATCTGGAAAACGCATATGGAACGAGCGAGACATTGGACACGGTGTTCAAGCAGGCTGCTCAGGCTTGCGATGCCAAGACCATTCATCTGCGATTGGCCGCAATCTTGGAACACAGCGAGAAGCATGAGCAGGCGGAAGAGCTTTGGCGCAGGACTGCCAAAAAGTTTGGCTTTAGCTCCAAGGTATGGGTAGGCTGGGTGCAATTCTACCTCAGAAGGGGACGCGTCGACGATGCTCGCGGCTTGATCCCTCGAAGTATGCAGGCTCTGGAGAAGCGAAAACGTGAGTTGGGATGTGCAGCGCGAAGAACATCCCATGAGGAATCGCTGAAATGCTATTGCGGTCTGCAGATGTCAAGACGATACAAGCGATTGCGATGTCGTGTTACAAGCTTGGCGAGCCTGAACAGGCTCGAACCATCTTCGAAGGTCTGGTCGATAGCTATCCTAAGCGTTTGGATCTGTGGCTGGTATACATTGATCAGGAGGCCAAGCTGGAGGAGACGTCTACCGTTCGGTAAGTGCGCGGTCCAGGCTGCACTGGTCTGCTTAAGCCAGATCGTGTCACTGACCCGACATTCTACCCATTTGCGCTCAGGTCGCTCTTTGAGAGAGTGCTGGCTTTGAGACAAAGCTCAAAGAAAGCGAAGTCTGTCTTGAAGAAATGGCTCGCCTGGGAACAATCGATCGGGAGCGCCAAGGGAGAACAGGCTGTTCTCAAGCGCGCTCGCGAATGGGCACAGCAGCTGCAGAGCAAACGTCAAGTTGAAGGCGAAGCGGACGCAGATCAGATGAACGTCGATGACGGTGCGGATAGCGATGCGGAGAGCATGGGACAGTGAAGCAGCTGGACTGGACTATACTAGTCTGCATGACGTACACTATGCTCAGCCTTGCGTACAATATGATTCGAGTCACCTTGCTCGGCTGCCTGATATGAAGCGGGCCCCATCTTTGAAGCTGCGTAGCGTGGATGGTACGAAACGCCATTTATGAGCTGCTGTCTGGCTCAAGTCACTGTGGTGGATTGTGAGCGTGCGACAAGAGCATTGCTGTAGGCAGGCAGGCAGGTGACCATGACCGGATGATATTGGCGACAGCAGCAAACCAGGTTGACGTTGGATCAAGAACGAGGAGGTGCGTTGTGTGCGTTCTGCGCCTCTTTGCTGACTGCGAGTCAGTCCACTTTTGCCTTGATCAACACTGTGCCCTTCGGCCCGCGATTCGACGTTTCGTCACCATGACTGCGCATGCTTGGGGTGATTTGCGCTTTTGGCCTGACTCCACTTTGGAGGGGAGTGTGCGCTGGATGGACTCATTTGCAGCCCCCTGGCTGATTTGCCTTGGGGCGCCCCAGGCATTGAAAACAATTCAGGCACCATTCGAATGGGGATGGCCCGCGAGGTAAGAAATCTTAGGAGAACGCTGCAGGAACAAGGGCCGGGCGATTGCGCCTTCAGCTGATGCCTGGATCGGCCGCCGATGGGGGTCGCGTTGGTAACAGAGGGGACGTCGGCGATCAGCTCGCGACTGTCATTTCTGTGACAGCAGTCACGATTTCATGGTCACGGTCAGCTCACAATCTCCTCCATGTGTGCGCCTCGCGCCGGACGGCGCTACGCCATCCCTATACGCGTAGGTACATCCAAATTTGGTGGGAGCTTCTGCGCAAGTGAGCTCAGCTAGCTGACTGCACCGCGTACTGCGCTATATACCATATAGGTACCGTAGCGTTGGCGCGTGCGTTGCGTGGCAGGAAGCATGCAATCTGCCGCCATACAATATAGGGTGCGGCCATCGGCGCCTTCCACTCGAGATTGCTGCTGACTGTTCAGAGGCGGTCAAGTCTGCTCCACGTAGGCACCTTGGCCCTCCATCAAGAGATCAAGGCATCAAGGCAGGCAGGCAGGATTGTGACGCTATTTCCACATCCAACTCCTCTTCGCCATGATGTGCGATGGATGATGTGCTTCGAACTTTACAATCGTGAATGGGTGACAGTCGCGTCGCATTTGACTTTTGGAATCCCGATGCGCGAATCGCTGCCTACGCTGCAGCTGCGATGGTGATTTCCGGTCGAGCGAGGGGCAGATCAGCAAAGATGTTTTGTAAGTACGAATACCGAATACAAATTCAAGTAGAGGAAATTAAAAACGATCCGTCCCATGGCGCTTGCTTGCTTGCTTGCTTGCTTGCATGCATGCATGCACCGATGGATGGCCTGAAACGCGCACTTTGCATGCAGACAGTCACGAGCCTCGGGTCGAAGTCAACTTGTGTCTTGTGTGTACCGTACAGTAGATCCCGCGTTGCTGCTGCTCAGTGCGTGTCGACTCTTTCGAGTGAAAGCTGGCCTGAACAGTCTCGCAACGTGAAGCTTGACCATCATCACCATGTCCTAATAGACGCTCTATGGCCAAGGTGCATCTAGCTCGAAGACTCACAACTCTTTAGACTCACAGCCCTTTGAACTTGGGTCGCACGCCTTCAAGCAGCTGCAGCTACGACGGGCAATCGCCCGATACCCTACCCAATCTTCACAACAACTCGCCTGGCGCATTAGACGACTTCGCCCCAGCGGTAGTCGACGTACGCACAAACGCCTCACCCCTCGACCCTGAGCATCAGCGCGAGCTCGACTCGAGATCCCAACCAGAAGCTTCACATCGCAATCACATACGCGCGTCCTCCCTGATCAAATCAAGGCTCGGCAAGGGGCCCTGAAGCGGCGCCTTTTACTCGCCGGGCAGCTTCTCCACAAGACAATATGTCCCATCAGCGAACAGCCTCCCAGAGCAGTGCTGTCTCGGTGGGCAGTGCGACCTCTTCCGGATCTCTCGGCACGTCAATACCCGCTCTTCATTCCCAGATTCGTCAATTGCGCACCGAGCTCGAGACGCTTCGAGCAGCACACGATGCGCTTCTCGCACGCTCCGTTTCCGAAGAAGGCACCAATGGGCCGCTGAACGCCGCTCAGGCTCGCATCTCAGCTCTAGAGACTCAGGTGGAGATGGAAAAGAGCCTCAGAGAAGATGAAGAGGCCAAGGTTCAGGATCTGAGACTTCGGGCTGAAGAATCTAGGAGAGCCATCATGCGCCTCCAAGGCGAAGCTGCTGGCACCAAAAAAGACAACAGGAGGAGCGTCGGTCCTTCCAGCTTGGCAAATTGGGTGCCACCTTCTTCGGCTGGGTATGATCGGGACAGCTTCAAAATTGCCCCTACCTCGGGCGCTGTCGGCACCGGCGGTGCTAATGGCAATACCAGTTCTAGCACGGTAGACGAGGAAGAAAAGCTCGCTAGAAGACGCAGCAAGCGCGCATCGTTGGCATTTGGAGCTAGCGCCGCGGGCAGGTCTGGATTTGGACCAGCTTCGAGCTCTCTGATCGGCATTGGTCACCGTCGCACAGCGAGCGGAGGAACGGAGGATTCTGTGGGTGGAGGAGCTGGCGGCCTGCGAGAGCTTCGACTCGGCGGAACGGGTGGAAATGCTGCGCTCGCACCCGAAAGTGCCGCGACGGGAGGAGGCAACAGCCGTCGGAGCAGTGCTCATAGCATGCTATCGCCTGCCGGGTCGCACGCCGAGCTGGCTGGCACCTCACCCTCTGATGGTCTCACGGTTCCCATCCGGCCTTCCCCTTCTCCAAGTCCCAGCAACATGACGAGCCCCATTTTGGAGGACGAAGCTGAGCACTCTATACTTCTCGCCGAGGAGTTCCCCGGAGGTGCTGATATGGAGGGCGATGGTCCCACGCCCACTACGGCTCGCGCACCTGGAGCAGGACCCCCCTCCGCAACAGGAGGTCTAGGTACAGGCACAGGCGTACGCGCACTTGCTGAGGCGCAGGGCAAACTTCGAGCTCGCGAGTCTGAGTTGGATCACGCGCGAAAAGAAGTCAGAAAGCTCAAGGAGCTTCTGCAAGAAAGCACGGAAGCTAGAGATGCGTCCGAGTTGTGCCTCAAAGCTCTTCGGCAGTTCATCGCTGATGGTGGAGCTGCAGGGGGATCAGGAGTACCTAGCAGCGACCCTGGAATCAGTCCCACGGATACAGCTATCAAATTACCGCCCCTGCCTACCGATAAAGATATTGGTGACGAAGAGGGCACCAGTCCGAGCAAACGGCAGGTCGCTGCTGCTTCTACCTGGGGCGCTAGATTCGGAAGTGCATTTGCAAGGACTAAGAGCGATACTCCAGCCGCCCTGCCATCTGTCCCTCCGACGCCAACCGGACCGGACGCGTACACCAAGATGCTGGATACGCCAGGTCGTACAATCAGTGCCAGTAGCGCTAATGGCCTGCGCTCCCCGCCAGCTGCAGCCTCTGGTGGTCTCTCGCTTGCTGGCATGTTCTCCCGAGGTGGTAGCACAGCTGCCAATGGACCCGTTTCACCGGGCGTTTCAGACGTCGGTAGTAACAAGAATCGAGAAAGTGTGACCAGCATCGTCTCGGACGCCTCAACTGGTACGGGAGCTGCAAGCACCGCCGCTACGGAGCCTGAAGCGAGCCTGACTGCGCCCCCACCTGCAGTCACTCGAGGTCTTAGCAGCTGGTTCTCCAAACGCGCATCCACAGCTACACCTTCAACGAGCAACTCGGCCTCTGCAGACTTGGCATCGAGCAAAGCAAGCGAGAATGGCGCTACGAGCCTCGCCTCGCCCCCTTTCGCCTCATTGGATCACTCCCAGTTGCACCGAGTGACGTCCAGCAATGCTTCTTCGCCACCCAACTCGGCAGGCGCTGCAGGAAACGCCCTGCTTCTAGCATCGGGTCTGCCTGCTTCTCCTCAGCCCAACAACGAGTCCGCCACACAACAACAAGGAGCCACGCTGGGCGTCAAGCCTCCGCATGTCGAGCTGAGCGAGAGGGCTAAACGTACAGCTAGCAGGACCAGCTTTGTTGCCGAGGACGATGGCTTTGTCGGACCCTCGTTCACATGAAAATCCCAAACTTTGAGGCAGGAAGCAGCGTTATACAGCTTCACAGCGGCCGCTTGCTCAGCGTGTCGCACTTGTTGGGTTACTGACTCGACACCGTGTCCGCGATCCCCGTCCCGCGTTTCTACACTTGTATCATGAAACCTTCGTATGAGCATCACGATGACTAATTACATTTCTTTGCGAGCGAGCGAGCGAGCGAGCACAATGTCTGAGCGAGCAGGTTTTCCTTATTCCATTTCCCACTTTTATCAGCATCTACACGGCGCGTGCGCTTCAATGCGGAATACCTGCGAGCTCATCGTAGCCCAAGGCAATGTTGAGGTTCTGGTGAGTGGCAAGCAGCGGTGGCGAGCGTAAGTCAGCGGCTTTTCGAGGATGGCGCCACCAGCACCTCCAAACGTTCATCTCACCTGCAAGCATTGTGTAGCAGCGCCTTTGAGCAAGTTGTCAATACCTCCAACAACGACGACGCGCTTGCCGGAAGAGTGGACTTGAATGCCTCCAATCTTGATGCCATGCTGCAACGCAACATCTCCAATCTCCGGCACATTGTTACCGATGCAGACGAGGGCTTGACCGGCATAAAACTCTTCGTACGCATTTCGAACATCCTTGGCCGTCAATTTGGTTCGCAGAGGGGCAGAAAGGGTAGAGATAATTCCTTGAAACCAAGGAGCTACGACGGGAACAAAGGCGAGATTGATCGAAGTGCCCACTCCCGGTCCGGCATTACCAGCGCCAAGGACGGAGAGGTGCCTGGCAGCTTCCCGCTCGTGGATGTGGTCCGTCAAGCTGTAGGGTCGGATCCCACCCTTCAGGTCTTCAGGACCAATCTTGGGAACGGTCACCTTTTTGCCAGGTGAAGAAGGATTCTCTTGACCGGCTTTTGTTCCAGCTCCACTGTAGCCTGACACACCGAATACTGTGGGAGGCGCCGCAGGATCTAAAAAGGGAAGTAGAGGCGCGACGAGAGCTTGGATAGAAGTAGCGTAGCACCCAGGGTTGGATATCAACTTGGAGTCTCTAATCGCTTGCCTAGAGTACAGCTCTGCAGAAAGACGGATCACGCAGGCCAAGAGGACGAGAGGAAAAGTCAACTACTCATTCATTGCTGGCAGAAGAAAGGTTACCACGGCTGTTCTGCCCATTCCATGTCAGGGGTCTATCCAGAACGCCCTCTTCAAAAGCCCTTATCCAACCTCTTGTGTTCTTTCTGACTCAACATTTTTACTGACCAGGCAAGCCGTACGTCCACTTGTCTTCGAAGCGATAATCAGCGGAGAGGTCCACAATGGTACCGTGACCTTGAGACTTTCCAGCTCCGCCTTGTTGGACAGCCTCAACAAAAGGCTTGCAGACCCCATTAGGAAGCGCCATGATATAGGCATCAGGGGGCGCGCTGTCGCCTTTGCCTTCTTCCAGCTTGCGAAGTTGCTCGACACCAATGTTGCTGTACCTCACCTCAGACTTGCCGTATCCCTCCAGCGCTTGACCTGCCAGCTCGCGCGAAGAGACGTGGGAGAGCTCGAGGTGGGGATGGTTGTTGAGCAAGCTGACAAGGGCTTGACCAGTGTAGCCACGAGCACCAATCAATGCAACGCGCTTCTTCTCCGAGTTGGTTGCGGGAAGAGGCTGAGAACGCTCTACAGCAGTGGCGTAGCTGCGTCGACCAAGAGTGCCGTTGGTAGATGCGCTGAGGGCAGCAGCACCTTGCCGCCTGGAGGCAGCAAAGGTGGAGAAGGCTCGCGCGCCACCGGGGACGTTGCTAGGCTTGGAGGCATTGAGAGGCAGGTACGCCCTCTCGATCCTGTTGTTCTCCTCCAGGCTGCGCACAATCTTCTCCACTTCGCTCACATCTTGAATGCCATAGTAGAAAAGGCTGCGGCCGTTGCGCGAGAAGCTGCCGTCAGCGCGCTCGTAATTCCATGCCCTGTTCTCGTCGTCTGCACGAGCAGTCCACACAAGACGCCTGTGGTCCTTCTTGATCTGGTTGAAGACGTTGTCGTTAACGCCATTGAGCACACCGTTGCGAGTCGAGATGAGCTTCGTAAGAATGGGCACTTCGCCTTCAGGTCTGGAGACGAATGCGATCACATCCATGGGCTCGTCGCCATAGATGGTGTACGGGTGCTTGCTGAGTTCAGAGAAGAATTGAGCTACACTCTTTCTGCCGTCCTTGACTTCCTCATCGTTTTCCTTAATGACGGTGCGCAAGCGCTCAGCCCCCACCTCCTCAATGCTTGAGCTCTTGTACAGCTTGTAGCCACGTCGAATGAGAGTTCCTGCACCGGAGTCACTAAAGAGCTCTTTTTGGAGCTGGTCGACGCTAATGATAGCAACCGAAGAGGAACGGGGCAGGTGGTCCAGGAGTTCCTTCATTTCGCGCAGCTTGAGCTTGGTGCCAAACTTGACCCACTCTTGCTTCATGAGGTCATCGTACTCCTCGTCTAGATTGATGGTCTCTAGCAGTTCCTTTGTATTCCCGTGGAACAAGCCGCCCTTCTCGTTTAGGTACACGATCTTCAGAGGCTCAAGCACCTTGGACAGCTCGCTAGCAGCGACGTCGGCATTGACGTTGCTGTTGCACAATCACAGCGTCAGCCAGAGACTCCGCTTGTCCCATTACTGCCTCTCAATGTAGCTCTGTCTATGCGTGCACGCTACTCACAGTATCTGACCATCCTCGGTCTCCGCAAGAGAAGTGAGGATTGGCAAGCAGCCGCTCCTGATAGCGCTCTCGATGGGCTCCTTATCAACCTTTTCGATCTTGCCGACCAAGCCGTACTTCTCCTTGTCAAGGTAGCTTGCAGTGAAAGTCCCGAGAGGAATTGGACGAGCTCTTGAGCCCAACGACTCAAGTTTTTCAACCAGACGCTGGTTCTCTTCCAGGAAGACTTTGCGGGCCACGCGAAGCGTGCGGGCATCTGATCGAACGGATGACCTGGCTCGTTTCAGCAGTCGATCTGAGGACACTGCAAGAGGGTGCAAGGTTTGAAGACTGACCAGTAATCCGGATACCATCGATGTAGTCTGGCTCAACGCCTTCGCGCTCCAGAATCTCATTGAGCTGAGGTCCAGCTCCATGCAGGACGATCGGGTAGAGACCACTGTGCAAGCACAGAAATGTCAGTTTTACGCTGACAACCGGTGTATCGCAGTACCATGTCCGAGCTTTCATACGCACACTCGATGCAAGAAGCTCAAGCTCAGAGCCAATTCGTCCAGCTGGTGCGTGAGGATCGCACCACCAACCTTCAGAACTGCGAATTTGTTCGCAGCGCTAAAGATGCGCAAATACCTCTCCACTTCTTTGCGCGATGCCAGTGAGTACAATAGACGAGTGATGGTTTCCTACAGGAAGAATAGAAGCACCGATCGATGATCTGTCAGCACGGTGCGGCCTGCTCTTTCGACAGCCTGTGTGATAGCATGCACGCACGCGATCAGACACGTCGACCTGCTGAGAGTAGGCACGAGCTGCGCCTGAGATCGAGCAAGCCAAGCTGCGGCTGGCGTTTCTAGCACCAGCGGAGGTCACAGCGGCATTGCAGAGGACAGTGGAGCGGCCACTGCTCGTGACATGACGAGCAGCTTGGTGAACGGCGCTACGCGCCAAGAGGCCCATCCTGTCTAACAGCCGGTAGGAGAAAGATGAAGTTGAAGAGTAACCTGACAGAGCGTGGCGTTCACACTCTGGGATGTGCGCGTGTGTGAGAAGGTGGGATGTATGCTACGTTGGCGAGGAAGGTGGAGCGCGGAGGCAGAAGCTGGATTCACGATTGCTGACATTGTCTGGAAGATATCACAGAGGCGCGCGCGCGTATCTGTATACCGTACATCGTCCATGCAGTTTGTAGCTGCTGCGATATCGCATGCATCATCAGCAGCCATCGATCAGCCGCGCGCAAAAGTGCCTAATGTGCCGCTACCGTGCCCGTAGGTATACTGTATATTTGCTCTGCTCGCTCGACTGGTGCGCGGGCTATGCACCGCACGGCTTTGTGCACCACAGATCGATCGCTGCATGCTGTCTGCTATGAGAGTGATGTGACTCGTGGCTCTATGACACCGAGCCTCAGCAGCATGCATCGACACGACGACCTTCATTCAGACCGTGACTCTGATCGACTGATCTGGCTGATATGAGAGCAGATTGAATCTGAATGCATCGCAGCGCGCTTGGCGATGGCA